TTAAAGACGAGATTTAATAGAATTATTATCCCAGCTCCATCAGGGACTATTTAAAATGTGACTGCCGTATTTATTCACTGAGTGCATTCATGTTGGTGAAAACAATGCGATAGTTACTAATAAAACTTGGTGCCTCTGCCCCGATTGTTGCTAAAATGCTCACAGTTTTAGCTGCTCTTTCTGTTGCACCTTTAGGGCAAATATCAACACGGTGAAAGAGACCTCACAGGTCCCCCTGAAAGGGTCTTGGGGACTCCCGGGACCCACAGACCTCATTTTGAGAACCTTCATGTTAGAACGTAGGGGACAATGTAATCGCTGTGATAGGATTTCCTTCCCGTGACCTAATTTCAGTGGGACCGCCCGGACAAGTGAATCAACTCTGAGGTCCAATATACCTATTCATTTGCAAATTTCAGACAATGATTCTGCGACTCCGGAGCCCGATGGGGAAGTCGGTGCCAGGACCAACGGGAAGGGGAGCCCCGGGGAGCAGTTTCCAAGCCCCGTCCAGTTCGTAAACAGCGTGGGAGCGGGGGACTCCAGCCGCTCGACTCTGCAGAGGTGCGCTCCGCAGATTCACGTCACTGCATTTTACTTCATCCTCACCCTGATACCGATTTCAGTGACCCAGTCACCTTAGAAGCAGACTGGCAATAGTCAAGTCCCACACTTCCATCCCAGCCCTTCTATTTTCTCTTGATACAAATGCCATGGCCCGAATCTTTTCACAGCATCTCGGGTGCGTTCAGATAAGACTGTATTGATAGGAGAGCATGAATTTTCACCCCTTAATTCCATCCTCTTCAGCCTTCCTGTATGCAGGTTTGCTGTTAGGACTCAGCTTTACATCCACTATCTATCTTTTGATTCCCACTCCCACCCCCTTTTCTGTCTGCTGCAGCTTATAATTACCCTGTCTGGGATCAGAAGAAAAACTGAGTGCCATGCGCCGTGGTCTGCTATTACACAGGTGCAAAGGAGCAGGAAAGCAGCCCTCGGTGTCGATTTGCAAGCTGCGTGCGACGGGTCCTTCTTACAGTGATGCACCACTTTCTCACAAATGTTAGGTGTTGATTATAAGACGGTGCTGATTTTCCGCACCTAGCCCTCCCTTCCACTGGCAAAACAACTGTAGTCGAGAAACTAGGTCTACTAGGGAAAGAATTGCCGTCATCAGTACCGCTGTTATTTTTCTAGAACTACCTTCAGGCAAGAACTTGAAAATTGCATTTGCGAGATAGACCGACAAGACTTCCATTGAGGACGCAGTGTCGTGTGAAATAGATTTTCTCCTCCTTTGGTTCAACAAGATGCGCTCTGTGGCATCTAGTTACAGCTTCTGTCGGGTTTGAGCGCAGAATTTGATGTGCTGTGCTGGGAGAGGGGCCATCGTGTAGACTAGCATGTGGTCCACCACACGAGCCTTCGTATTTGCTGGCGAAAGGAGTCCTCTTCTCCTTCCAATACAGATATTTCACTGCCTGCCATCTTAGGCATAACCTCGACTCCCTTTATTCCTTTGATTCATGTTTTTACTGCATTTTGCCTATACTTTTAATAGGGCGACCAATCTGACGACCTTAGAAACAGAGCTATCAGTAGTGAACTGACTCATTTCAATCCTAGTTTTTTCTCTGTCACCAAATGCCACCAAATCTGAAAGCCTCTTCAATCCCAACTCTTGTAACCTATGAACTGGGAATAAGCACAGATAACTATTGGAAACATTAAGGTTCAAGATACGTATTGGATAGGTCTCCATATAAGTAGATGAAACCCATCAAAATGTTGTAGTTGATTTATATTACAGACAATGTACATAGATGCCTTCATGTTTCCTGCCTTATCAACCTTATTCTTTCCCCTTTGACTCTGCTTTCTTACACTCCTCACAATTCCATCAGATTAACTGTTGGCCTCTTTCTTTCTCTGAATGCTGCCCTTGTTCCTGGAGGCAGCGTGCGCCCTATAGTCTCTGTCCCCTCAGCCATGCTAATGACCTAACATGCATTCTCTGAAGGTGAGTATGGACACATAGGTCCCTTCCTCAGGGTCCAGTGTGTTAGATAGGAATCCATAGGGTCATGCATTCAGAGGCAGAACTGACACACCATATCCATTTTCCGTTTTCTTGGATGTGCCCTTTGAAAGACATTGAGCACTCTCTCTCTAGGCGTTCTGAAGAAACGCATTTGACCTTGAAGCCACTCACCCCTGACTGGTTTCTGCCGACCTACTTTTCACTTGCAGCGTCATCAGCGGTGTTGGGGAACTGGATCTAGACAAAGGGCTAGTGAAGAAAGCAGAGCCCAACACCAAAGACCGACCTTATCCCGACTGCCCCTTCCTGCTGCTAGATGTGCGAGACAGAGATTCTTACCAGCAGTGCCACGTTGTCGGAGGTAAGAGAGAGGGCGTTCTAGTGTCTCACTCCCAGGAACAGAGCCCATTCTTTAGTCTAGGCCAGCTTGAGCCACTTCCCAAGGTCAGCAGTTGAGGAAATGACATGTTAACCAAATCCATCATAGGAACGTGTAGGTTGGCTCTACCGCAATGCTCTGAGAGAAGCGTGGGACATTCTCTCATGGCTCTGGGGCCCAGTGCTAAATGTCAGAAATGGTGACATGAAGCTTCATATTTTGTTCATAGCGTCCTGTTTCTTTTCTCTCAAAACATATCCAGGCTTGTTGATTTAGAAACTGTATTTCTTTGAACTTTTAGACTTTAAAATTTTTTTTAATATTTATTTTTGAGAAAAGAGAGAGACAGCATGAGCAGGAGGGGCAGAGAGAGAGAGAGAGAGGGGCACAGCATCTGACGCAGGCTCCAGGCTCTGAGCTGACAGCACAGAGCCCGATGCGGGGCTCAAACCCACGAACCGTGAGATCATGACCTGAGCCGAAGTTGGACACTTAACCGACTGAGCCACCCAGGAACCCCTGAACTTTTTTTAAAAAATTTTTAATGTTTATTTATTTTTGAGAGACAGCATGAGCAGAGGAGGGGCAGAGAAAGAGAGTGACACAGGATCTGAAGCAGGCTCCAGGCTCTGGGCTGTCATCACAGAGCCCGACGCAGGGCTTGAACCCACAAACCGTGAGACCATGACCTGAGCTGAAGTTGGATGCTCAACTGACTGAGCCACCCAGGTGCCCCTGAACTCTTAGATTTTACACTAGGCAGGAATTTGGGGAGTTGTATGGAGAGCAAAACACTTCCTAAACTTTTTCTTCTCTTTGCAGCTTACAGTTACCCAATCGCAACTCTGTCTAGAACAATGAACCCTTATTCAAATGACATTCTTGAATATGTATCCTTTGTTGCATTTTATGGAGCTGGGTGGTTTGAGGACTGTAAGAGTTGAACTTATCCTGAGTCATGCTCCTAGAAAAAGACTTCCGTGCAGGCCCTTTGATATTAATTAGCTTCCTTAGCATATTTTAGAATTTGGGTTCTTAGCTCTTACGCCGGATCCTGACTGACCTAGCAGATGTGTCCAAGCCATCCTGCAGTGCTCCAAAAAAACATTAGGTTAAAGGCTGTGATCTATTGAGAGTTAGTCCTAAGACTTTATTTTTTTTTTCCCAGAAAGCTTTCCCAAGTAAAGCTTAAGTGAATTTTTTTCCTCCTGTTTTTAATTTTTCCCTTAAAATTTTACTTGTTTTTTTTTTTTTTGCTTATAAAAGTTACACAAATAGAAAATAATTTAACCACGGAAAGACCTAAAAAGGAACATTGATAATCACAATCGAACGACTCTGATTACGTTTTTTGCATATTTCATTTCAGATTATCCTGTATGTGTTCTTTTTTTAACAAAGCAGCAATCATACAGTGTCTATAATTTCATATTTTGACTCTTCCTCTCGGTAGTACAGCGGCTTTCCCCATGCTAACACAAGCTCTTTATAAACTCCGTTTTGATTGTACCACATTATCTCATCTTACTATATACTACACTCTGATTTACTAAACTCTTCCTCTCTAGTGGGTTTTCAGGTGGTTCCCATTTTCTTACTCTTATAAATAAGATGGCAGTGGACACGTGGGGCACACGAGTTTTTTCTATTTTCTCACCTGTGGGATGGACGCTGTAATACTTACTTTTCAAGGTTGTAAGGATGCAAGAATCAAAGGGTATAAAGCAGGGAGCTGGTGCTGTCTTGGACCGTAATAATATTAGTTTATAAAAGATGAGAATCCCAGCTTGTGTGGTTTCCATGAGAGGAAAAAATCCAGCAACGGCTGGTGTGATGGGATTGTCCAATGTCCTCTGAACTCAGAAAAGTGAACCTTGACAGTTCTTTGTTCCCTGGGGGTTTCTTTATAGCCTGGGAGCATTAGCCCAGTGTGGTGGAACCTTAACTCACATGATTCTTAGAAAAATGCTCACGGCAAGATCATCATTCTGTACGACGACGACGAGAGGCTGGCCAGCCAGGCGGCCACCACCATGTGCGAGCGGGGATTTGAAAACCTTTTCATGCTTTCCGGAGGTGAGTGGGCTGTGTGCTGCTTAGGACTGAAAAGACGGATAGTTGAACTGAAAGTCCTTCAATCCTCTCCTGACACCCTTATCCTCTCCACGCTCTGAATTAAGAATTCTGGAAAGAGAGACGACCACACTGGCTGTAAAGGGTCAGGAGTTCTGTGAAACTTCCGTTAGTTCCATCGGCACATGTTTTTAATTCCTGAAATGATGCTATTGCATTAAGAAAGCCTTCGTGCCAAAGACTGGAGCAAAAAGATGTCTGGTGGAGTTCACAGAATCCCACCTAACCACCACCATTTTTCTCGTGTAACTTGCTTCATGGTCAAGCGGGTTAAGATTTCACCTCCTTGTGTTGGCTTGGGCCAGAAGACCAAAGGCCAGGAGACGCGTGCAGGCTCCTTAACAGGGTTTTGCCGTAGCCTCACCATGTTAATGCTGCTTTTTCTGATGCTCTTCCACACCTAGGTCTAAAAGTCTTAGCCCAGAAATTCCCAGAAGGACTGATGACCGGTTCCCTGCCAGCATCTTGCCAGCAGGCCCTTCCTTCTGGCTCTGCCCGGAAACGATCCAGCCCCAAGGTGCCGCCTCTACCAGCTGAGAATAAATGGCGATTTACCCCAGAAGACTTAAAAAAGATAGAATATTACCTGGAAGAGGAGCAGGGTCCCACGGACAATCCTAGTAAGATCTTTTGACCTTTAGAGAAAATGTGTTGTGTAGAACTTTGAGCCTGGCGGCTTTGAATATCACCTCATCATATGAAAAGCTTGCTTTCTTATATTCAGATTCTTATAATATTTGCTGGGCACGGGGGATGTGTGGGTGCTGTGCATGGAGGGGCGGGGGGCAAGGGGAGGTGATCCCAGGTTGCGGGAAGAATTAGGCATCGTATATGGACAGAGAGAGAGGATTTATCATTCAAATAAGCTGTGTATTTCAGGCTCAGTTGAGAGGCCAAGCTGAGGCACTTGGATTTCCTCTGCCACACGCTTTGTTTCCCTCTGCAGCTTCTGGACACCTTGAAACCCATGTCCAACCTTCCCTTGAGCACACTACTTCCTCTTGTCTTTTCCCTAATCACTCCTGTACCCGTCTCTAACCAAGGAGAAACGAAGGCCAGACTAGGTTGGTTGGGATAACGGAGAGGAAGGGAAAGAAAGCAGCTCTCTGGGCGTCCTTACGTTCCCTGCCCCTTCCCTACCTCCAGGCTGGTCCCCAGCATGAAGAGTAGGTTTTAGCCTCGAGTAGATGCTGAATAGGGCTCCATTAGCTTGAAAGTGGTTGTACCATACGACTTCATTAGCTTAAAAGTATACTTGGCAGATGGTCCCTGGAGTCATTCTTGCAGCTCTGCTCCCTGCTTTCTTGCCCCCTTCAGGCCGCCTGAGCCAAGCTAATGCCTCCGGAAGAGACTCCAAGGGCCCAGGAGCCCGCAGCGGCCAGAACCTGCCCGCCGGGGGCCCTGGCGGCCCCCCGAACTCCCGCTCGCTCAGCAGTGGCCACCTGCAAGGCAAACCCTGGAAGTAAAGACTGTGTGTGTCTTAGTCAAATAAATACTCTGTCTCCTTTCGGAACCCCTGAGCAGTTCCCAAGGTGGTCATTGTCAGCGACTTCTGTGGAGGAAACACGACGCCATGTGTGATGGGCCCTCCTTCCTCTCCCCGTGTCCGGCTCCCTTCCAGCGTCCAACTCGGAAGGAGTTTCACGAAAACCAGAGGCATGACAGGCTCCAGCGTCGTCCCTGTTGTTTACAGAACATTGAAGTTTCTGAAACTGAGTAGGCAAAGAGAGTCTAACTTTTTAGGTGGTTTTTTGTGTTTTGTGTTTTAAATAAGGCCCAGCTTGTATCGGTTCATGTCCTGCACGGTTTTGTAAATTCTTCGGGAACGTCTGGTATGTTCTTTCCAACCACTCGCTGTTCTTGGCCTCATGAAGGTTGTCCAGGTGGGCTTTGCAGCCCCGGAAGCTGACCCTGGGGGTTGTGGGGGGGTGATTCTCAGCTTTCAGCCGGCCAGGGGTGGGCCCTGAGGAGCTGCCTGCCCAGCACACGCGGCAGGCTCCGTGCTGAGTTTGGAGCCTGGCACCTTGAGTATTGTTCAACCTTAAGTTCGGTAGAGCAACCCTCACGCTTCCTGAGTGCTCCCCTCCCCAGTAGATGTTTTCCTGGAACCAGCACTGTGATGACGTGTGCCCAGCCTCCTTCACATGGGGTCACCGCATCCCTCCGGAAGAGCCCCGTCCATTGTCCGGGCCTGTGCGAAGAGCCGTTGAAGCCCCCCTTCCCCTCCCCGACCTGTCCCTCATTTGTGGTTGGTTTATCGGCTGTAAATTTCCATTCCCCGGCTCGGGTCCATCCGTCTTAGATGGATAGAAATTATGGCCACTTCAAAACATCAGCCTCAATCGGGCCACTGTGGGCACATGTGGTGAGGACGACACCGCAGTCCTTTGTCAGAGCAACAGCCCCTTTAAGCCCCAGCTTAAAAATACAGTATTAGTGTAATTGAGTAATTAGTGCAATTTCCTGCTTACTTTTCATTCTCACGACTGAGCTGTGATTAGGAGGTTGTGATTATAGATTCTGGTTTGGGCCAGAATTTTGAATCAGCATTAATTGAATTGCTAGATGACTGACATTCAATTTAATTGGGGGAACAAAAGACCTCAGGTAAGGATGAGGAACTCCGAAATCATCAGGAAAAGGGAAAGAGCCTTGTTAATTTTTATGGTCTGTGATCTGTAGCTGTGATAAGGGACCAAAGAATAAATTGTCCTCTTTGTCATGGCAACCTGCTTCTGAAAAGCCAACTGAAAATTGCCTATCCTTAGGTGGTTACCGCTGCCGGGTAAGATTTACCTTAACGGGACTATTTTCTCGCCACCAAAAAAAAAAAGAAAAAAGAAAAAGAAAAAGAAAAAACCACAGGAAAAAGAGAATGTACTGCAGTATTTCTAGCATGGGGGTGGGGGGGCATAGTTTGTAAGAGAAATAAAGGTAATAAATATCTCATAGAGACATATGGAAAAATAACTTTCAGATTCAGCTCAGTTCTGTTTTAGTGTGTTTATTCTTCTCTACTTGATTTCCAAAGTGCAACATATTCCGATGCTTTAGAAATCAAACAAACCAGGGACATTGTTCAAATGTCAAGCCGTGCCCAATTTTCCACAAGATTCAAGAATCTTGTATAAAATTCAGCCAACGTACACATAGCTTTAATGAGGAGCCTGTCATGTTTCCCTATAAATTTATTGCCTGAGAACTTAGTTCAGCCTTTTGCTAATGCCAGAATGCTCTGGCGTTTTATTTTCTTTACAGCATAGGTTTTTTAAAAATGCCAGTTTTTCCACCCTCAACTTTCCCCTAGCATGGACAAGATTTTCAGCCCTTTATGACATATATACGTTTTTAAGGGGGAAAAAAAAAAACCCATCTCTCTCTGTAACAAAGTTCTGTTTATGCCATTTGAAAGTTGACTGGTCAGGAGTTTAGACTCCCCCGCTCAATTCTGTTTCAGAAAGTGACGACCCTACTCTGCATCCCGATCACCAAATCCCCCTCGCGTTTTAGAACCTACTGTGTATATGTGGAGAGTCACTGTAGCCAAACCGATTAGAATCGCTGTGCATTTAGCTGAGGCATCTGGCAGGTTGAATATATTTTCGTGTGTTTCTCCATGGTGCTTTGCCTATTGGTAAGGATTCTAAGTAACTACCCCTCAACGACCTGTTCTGATTCTGCTCTTTGTGTGTTAAGTGTCACTCGCAGACAGTTTTTACGTGCTCAAGTGACTGTTCCAAATGTTCTACTTTACTGACTTCTCCATTAGATGAACGGACATGTATTATTTAAATGATCAGTGATACTTTGTGCAACTATGAATGCTGAAGATTAAAGTACATAGTTATTAATTTGTTGTTTGCTATTAATATGCCAAGATGTGCCCACTTTTCTCTGACTCTCTGTGGAGGTGGTTTGGGGGAGCCACACGGGACGGAAGGGATTTGAAAGCATACCTCTTTTCCCTGCATCTCCCAAGAAGGCACGTACTCTTTGCGTAAAAAATCCGGACATCATTCTAATTAGAATATACTTAGCTCTCTAGACAGAAGGCCTGGGTCTCTCCTCATGCTCAGGCAGGGACCCATTGTCCCTTAAGCACATCACGACAGGACTTCCTTGTCAATGTTTCAAAGGTTGACAGGCTGCCCCAGGCAGGGCAACTTGTGACTCCCCCCCCACCCCATGATGGCAGGTGCTTTATCGATGTATAACAACAGCTTCGCCTGAGCAACGGTGATGGCCAAAGTCTGGATAATATGTTCAGTGCTTTAAAGGGGTGAATATTTAAGGAAGAAAAGAGAGAAGCAAAGAAGAAAAGGAGGAGGGAGAGCTGAAAAGGAAAGCTATTTTACTCGTTTGAAAACAAACAGAACATCTTGGGCTGTAAATATGTCAGGTTTAATCTATTGAAAGGTATAGAATGATGCAAATAGCCTAGAAGTCATTTTATTTATTTATTTTACTTTTAGTAGAAAACCAGAATCAGCACAGTCACGTGGACTCGGTGTAAATCAGAATCGTTAAGAGAACAAATAGTGTTCATTAGTTGCTGAGGGGTTTTTTCCTGTGGTGCTATCAAGGTTATACAAAAATTCTTAAGACTCAAAGCTACTCACCAAGAAAACAGAACAAAACAAAAACCTCCTTTTCCCTGATTCCCTGGTGGAATATCAGTGAAATCAGAATCCGAGACTAGGAAGAAAGATGTCGGTAATTTTTCTTGTGTTGGTTTTGGTTTCTGGTCATGTTACATATTGGTTATAGATTTCATCTTTACATTATCCGACATTTTGGCAGGGGCGGTAATTAATTTCTGTCCACCTGGATTTACATTCATAACTCCCCTTCTTACCCAACTCTGATGATTATCATTGAGAAACTTTCTTTCCCTGCTGGCAAAATGTTCTCCGTGTCTTTCATAGGCGTTTATTCTCTTCACGGTTCTTTCAAAGACACGATTCTCATAATACCTTCCTTTCTTTACAAGAAATACCAGAAACATAGATAACGATTCATCAGCTCAATTATGTGGGCAGGATGATAGGCTGATACGCAGTTCAATTAATTTTTTTATTAACAAACACGTGTCTCCTGTAAAAACAGGAAATATAACACACCGTGCTTCCAAAGCGTTCAGAATACATTTGGTTGTTAACACTCTCCTAACGGTGCAGTAAATTGTACTGAAATTGTTATTGCGGTATCTTTAAATTGATACATAGGTCAGTCACAGCATAAAGACAGGTGATGGTGGAAATTTGTCAGCACTGAATTCTGACAAAAAATGGGATTCAGGGTCTGATTTTATGTGTGTTTACAAAACAATGTCCCGCCTAATCCCCTCACCGGCTCCCTCTCTGAGTCTGATCCTCCTTTGTTCTGAATGCGGAAGCAAATTCTCTTCACCTGTGTCACATATTTAGACACCTGGTGAAAACCTGTGGCAAACAGAGGCCACTTATTAAGTGCTATTGACTGATGGACTGCATTTTTTAAAGGATGCAAATAGGCCTTCTATTCGAAACTATTTTGACTGTAAGCCCCCAGACGGTGAAAATCACCAATGATATGAAAGCAACCTTTGGTCAGCATCGATGAATAAGTGAATTGAACCTGCTAAGACTGATCTGGGGTGTAATGCCCATGGTGTGGCCACTCAGTGCCGGTCTGCCGTTCTGGAGACCCAGAGAGCTCGTTATCTTTTGTTTCACTGTGTACATCCTGCTTTCGTAGGAGAGGCGTTCACAATCCTGAGATTTGTGGATTACCTACTGCCGGCGGCACCCTGGGAGCGTGGTCCTCTCCAGCCCAGAGTAGCCTCCAGAATTCATCACATACAGGTGCACACCATCCCCATCTGACAGTGGGTTCTTTTTCTCTTCTGTTTCAAACCTTGAAGCTCGCGGGATAATAATCCCAGCAGATGCTTGGAGTGCCCACTCTGTTAGGCAGCGTTCCTAGAGTCCTGTGTGTTCTGACCCTCTTTTCTCACAACAGTCCGTGAGATGGGTGCCCCAACGTCAGGGGAGGAGACTGAGGAGCAGGTGGAAATTAAGCAACTCCTCTTGAGGCCCTGAGTCACTGAGCTAAAGGTCAAGACGCCAGGAGCCAGCCTGAGAATGGCGCCTTCAGATCAAGTTGTCGCTCGGCCGCTCCGCTCGGTGCTTCTCACGCTGGGTAGGCGTGGCCATGCCGTCCCTCCGCGATGCCTCCAATTTACCCACACAAATGCACCTCTCCCCTGCCTGTTGGCCTTCCTTCCCTCCCTGTCACCAGAGGTTCCTGCCCCCCAAAAGCTGTCTCCACCCCCCCCACACACACATACACACGCCATCTGCACAAAAGGCGACAGGAATTCAGAGACGGCACATCTGCTCCCGGAATATGTGTCTCCATATATCCACTGTCTGCACCCAGTGACTGATCTTGAGGACGGGTGCTATCCTAAGATTTGTTTTGTTCCTGAATGAACACTAAGGGGGTCTCCCTTAAGGAATGGGACTTAAAAACACTTTTAACTAGACCGTTGGAAAAGAAGTCAGCTGTTTTCATAACTTGAACGATTCATTTAATAAACCATCCTGCTAGGACTTCATGTCTGATCTTTTCTTTCCTTTGCGGGGATGTCTCTAATTTAGGCAGAGACACAAGGTGCATGAATTCCCTCGGGACCACAGGCCTGGGCCGGGGCAGGTGGGGAGCCAAGTAAGCCTCTGCCTCGGTTCTCCTTCCCAGAGCGCTTTTTCCACTGCGCTCTTCTGAAACTGCAGCCGAACCCCACTGCCATGGTTCAGCAGGAGACTTTCACTTTTCTTCTTTGCGGTTGGCAATAAGCATTTGGCAGTCTCAGTCTCTGGGGCTGTTAGATGATGCTCGCAATTTGAGTTGCCACATTAATGCAGATCTTGAAAGCTTTGGGGAAAATTCATTACCCTTTGACAGTTTGTCAGATTTGACGGGCACTCCGTGCCTTTTTTCTCGGAGCTTCTCCTTCGTGTGGCCAATCTGAACACTATGGTTGGTCCTAATCAGTTTCCTGTGAGTAGCATCTGGGTCCGAGTATATTCGCAGAAGGGTGTTTCATTAGAGTCCTTAGACCAAGAGTCCTTATGCGGCCTCGAACCCATCTAGCCCCACATGCCCTTGCAAAACGCTTGCTGAGATGATGAATGGCCCTGCACTGGAGGAAGGACCAGTGAGGTCATATCTGGATTGTATTCAATGACATTTCAATTTTAACTTCAGGCCAAACCCAGGAAGCTCCACATGCACATCTGAGTGTTAATTCAAGAGGCCACCCGAAGGATTCTCACGACCTCCAATGGCCCCCAGGCCACACTGAGAACCATATATAAGGGTCTCAGGAAAAAGTCAAATGAGTTTCTTTAAAAACAAAGAATTTTGAAAAGCCCTGGAGAATAGGCATTAGCGTAATCAATTCCCTGGATTGCTGCAGGAACTAAATGTGAGCAGAAAGGGCTCCCGGGGATTTTCCTCTGAGCTATGGCAGAGTGCTTAAGGGAACAGCTCCCACCTGGGAGCCGGAGAAAACCCTTCCCTCTGTAGAAACGCGGCTGCTTCCAGCTCTATCGGTAGTGTAAATTTTTCCAATGATGAGATACTTACATTGTTCTGGGCCATGTGGTGAAGCCAGAGCAGAAGAAATGAGTTTAGGCAGATTATAAAAAAAGAATCTGGGCACAAATTAAGATCACCACTTAGATGTTGGATGTTGATATTGAGTTGGTTTTAGATAACTTTACCCATGCGTTATTTGGTGTGTTTGAACTAGTCTGGTTTTTTTCCTGATTGTAAAAGCCGACTGCAAGAAATCCAAAAAGGCATAAGGAGGAAAACCATCACACTATCCACTATAGTGTGTGTGTGTCTGTGTGTGTGTGTGTGTGTGTGTGTATGTGTGTGTCTGTGTTTCAAACAAAAGTGAAATTCATACTGAACATACTATTTTGTAACTACTTTTTTAAAGCAACAGTATAAATCACATACTATAAAATCCAAGCACTTTAAGTGTACAATTCAGTGATGTTCAGCAAATTTACAGAGTTGTGTAACCATTACCACAACCTTATTTTAGAACATCTCCATCCTGTGGCTGGTTGGTTTCCCTTAGTGTTGTGTGACCCATTTCCCCCACGTCTACATGGACTGCAATGGCTTCATAAGACTCCACTGTTTAAACACGTCATATGGTATCAATACTGGTATCTATTTAGGCTCTTTTCCTTTGTATTTAGTTTTTTATTATTACAGCCTTATACATATATACATCTGAATTTGTCTGAATATTTTTTATAAAACAAATTTCTCCAAGTGGACTTTCTGGGTTAAAGCAACAATATATGTGAAATTTTGATTTATATTCTACCCCACCTTCTGCCCCAGGAAGGTGGAAATCCATCTTCACACCAGTAGTATATGACAGGTCTTATTTCTTCATACCCTTGATAGCACCGAATTGTCAGTCTTTTTATTCTTTGTCAATATGATGGAAGAAAAATGATTTATTTGCTTTTCTTTAATGTACAAAAAAAATCACTCAGAGGATCAGTATCTCTTATACGTTTATTGGCTTTTTGTGTTGCTTCTTTGGGGAATTGCTTTTTTTTTTTTTTTTTTTTGAAATGTTAGTCCTTTTTTTAAATTTACCCCCTTTGACTTATAAGAACTCTTTTCCCTTCAAGGTTATTAATACTTTTTCATAGATCCTGCAATATTTTCTAAAAGTATTTTTTCTCTTTTAGCTTCATGCTTTTACTTATAAATTTTTTACCCACAAATTTGTAAAACTGTGTATCTGCAAACAAAATGTAAACCTCTTCTTATACTTGAAAATACAAAAAAAAAAGTATTAACAATTTCCCTATCTCCATTTACAAGTATTTATTTAGCACCTGCTCTGTGCCATGTGTTTGGCAAACCAGTAGGGAGTACGTATTGAACAAACCAGTGCACTCTCTCCCCTCATGGAATTTTCTGGTGCTTCATTCCTTGTCTTATCAGGTTTCCTAAGAGCCTCACTTTCTAAACTACAATTTGGGGAATTCAAAATAACTCATGAGCCTACACTATACAGATTATAAAATTCATAAATTCATTCATTAGTAAAAGTAGAGAACATTCACTCAACAGATAGTTATTGGGCATCTGTACGTCAACTATTGTTGGCAGTTTTGGAGATTGAATGCCAAAGTGGTGCCTGCTATCAGGAAGCACAATTATCTTAAATTAAGCAATTCTATCCCTGAAGTCTAAGTAATCCAATTTTGTAAGATTTACCATCCTTGCTAACTTAATATTTTGTTTTTGCCTATCCATCTTTATCAAGCAAAAAATAGGATTGTCTTTTTAGTTGCCCAAACGGAGCCATTAAAATGGGTTTCAGCCCGGGGTGCCTGGGTGGCTTAGTTGGTTAAGCGTCCGACTTTCGCTTGGGTCATGATCTCACGGTTCGTGGGTTCGAGCCCCGCGTCGGGCTCTGTGCTGACTGCCAGCTCAGAGCCTGGAGCCTGTTTCAGTCTGTGACTCCCTCTCTCTCTGACCCTCCCCTGTTCGCTCTGTCTCTCTCTCTCTCTCTCTCCTAGAAATAAATAAAACATTAAAAAAAAAAAGATATCCTTCACTTTAAAAAAAAATAAAAAAATAAAATGGGTTTCAGCTCATATAGGTTGAATGGAAATGCTTCCCGAAACGTTACTTGAAGGAAGTGTTATAAAATCTTCACTTAATTTTTCTGTAAAAACTAAAACACCATTTTACCTTGCCTCATAAACTTGCATGGGCATAAATTTATGTATGATATATAAATATGTATCTATTCTGCCTCATACATTTTGCTTTTTAGAATGGTAGCAAAAAAAAAAAAGAAGAAGAAGAAGAAGAAAGAAAGAAAAAGCATTTTACCTATAGGCCATTTCCTGTGGAAAAGACAAGACTTTCAAGATCTCAGAGCTAGATGCACTGTGACACCCCAAAGGGCCAATACGGGGCAAGGTGGCCATCTTCACCCCCAGCTTCCGTCTTTGGGGAGCTACCAGTCCACCCTCACCCGCTCCCCAGTGACTTCCGCGGGAGTAACCCCCTGCTCCACATTCACGTCTGAGATATGAAGTTAGAATCTTCCTTCCTCTGAAAGAACAGAAGTTAGATTCTTGCTCTGAAAGAAGTTGAGATGTCCTATGTATTGAGGTACTAGCCACTAAGTGTGATGTCGTAGCCAGCAGAATCACCAAGTGAAAGGAGGAGACCCACTGAGTCTTAGGAGCTCTGGAGAGTATCAGGAGGAGAGCCTTGTGTCTGAGAAATTTTGCAAATGATAAGGAGTAGCTGTAGGTGAAACAGAAAAGGAAGTGGGGACCTGAAGGATGCTAGAAAGGAGGTGACATATGAAAACAAAGCTGCTTCTGTCCCTAAAAGTGAAGTCTTCGTGATGTACTACATTTAACAAGAAGGTTCTGGGATTGGTGTTTGTTCTTTATCTTCAGTGAATTATTTCACTTAACTTAATTGTTTTCTTCCAATTTAACTCAGGAGTGGGGGAGCAGATCTTGCTTTACAGAAGTGGGCTTTGCCTGGCTGCGATGTCTATTTAGGACAGCAGTGGCCACCAGGACTCTGCTCTTTCATTCTCAGAGTTATTGCTTTTGTAGATAAATGGATCCAACTAGCTATACTCTTGCACGAGCTGAATTCCTGACCACTGCAGGGTGCCAGGCATTTGGTTAGCAGCTGTGGCTGCTGCTTGCTACTAAGGTATGAACAAATCACCCCGCTGATGAGCTAAGCTCAGGGTGGTCTAATTAAAACAGACGCCACTTGGATACAACTTCAGAGGACCTTGGAATGCAGGGGAATGCAGGGGTCATCTAGTCCAACCACCCACACGTTTCCAGCGAGGCCTGCAGGAACTAAATCACTTCTGCCCTAGCTTGAAAAGGCAGACATGTCACATCCATTCCCACGTGTCAGCCCCAAGATTCCGTTCCATGTACACTCAAACTTTATTTGGTTGCCTGAGCGGGGCCAGAGAGGAGGAGGAAGAGAGTACCGAAGGACCAGTTCAGTAGGGGTGATTCAGGGTGTGCTCCATGATGGTCTGAAGCGCCAGCCACGTCTCCTGAGCCGTGGGGATGATCTGGGACGCCGGCAGCAGGAAGCCATAGCGCCCGGTGTCCCGGAGCTCAAAGGTGAAGGAGTACTTGATGCCCTGGCTGTAGGTCCAGTCAATGGTGCTTCCACTGGCTGGGTCTGGGGCAGGAGCAGATGCCAGAGAGCAAAGGTCAATCACTTAAAAACACTGCTATGGTCTGGGCCAATGGTCCTAAGCCCGGAGCCTCATGTAGGGTTGACTGGAGTCGGCATCCACTAAGTGCCTGCTGTTGACTGAGCAGCCTGGCTTCCTCCCAAGGAAGTCCCCCAAGGGGGTTCAGCTCAAGAGCCCATAGAAGAGGACCAGCAATGGTCCTGTCACGGGGGAATGCAAGAAAGTTCTTGCAATTGAAAAAGCCCCACTGAAAACCACCTCCCTCCAAGAGCCACTTTGGTCAAACCTCCAAATATACCAGAGTTACCCACTTGAGTAACCAGGATCTGTCCCCTGGCGTTCTGGTCTGCAGGAGAGAGTGCAGAAGGCCAGAGGCCAAGTAGAGGCCCCTTGTCTGTCTTTTTGGAGGGAATTTTGCCCAGATTTGCAGGTAACAGTGGGTAATGAAGTTGCTTTTGAATTGGGCAGGGGTCTGGAAGGTGGCCTGCGTGTCTGAATTTAACTTGACAACATTGATGGAAGCAAAAACCTCTGATGTGGTTTGAAACCATTTTCAAATGAGGCCTGAAGTCCAAAAGCAAGGCCAGCCCTAGGTAAGACTGTGGCCCACTCACCTACCAAACCCTGGGCGCTTGGGGCCAGATGTACGTGAGGGGTGCCTGCAGCCCTCCCCGCTCCATCCTTGTCTTCTGACTCGGTACTTCTGCCTCTCGTTAGCCAGCAAACTTGCTGTATTCCTCAGGGCCCTACGGGATCTGCCCCCACCCCACCTGTCCCTGACGACCCCCGTGTGCTCTCACCCGTGGCTCCATGTTGTTCCTGCTATCCCCCCAACACGCCAGTCCAGATCACATGGCAGGACCTTGGTTCTAGAAGGTTCCTCTGCCTGGAAGCCTCTTCCCCAGATAGATAGCCTTTTGGCTCCCTTCCTCATCTCCTTCAACACTGACCCACATTTCACTATTTCAATGAGGCCTACCCTTCAACCCACACACACAGCTCCCATGCCCAATATTCCTGATTACCCTCATCATGTTCTAGTTTTTATTTTTCTCCCTAGCCTTCATCACCTAACACATTGTATCGTTTACTCATTCATGTTTGTTGTCACTCTCCCTGACTGGGATGTACATTTCCTCATCTTTGCTTATTTCTAACTATGTCCTAAGCACAGAAAACAGGGCCTGCTACAGAGCATGTGCTCAATAAACATTTGCTGACTTAAGTCCATTTTGACTTAACAGTGCTCCTTGCATGTACGAGTAAGCTGGGGAAAGATAAGATATATTCTCTAACTGAAAGGCATTGGAGGAAGAGTAATTTTCTAAGTGGAATTTCTCAGTGATCTACAAACGCCAGCAGCACCCTCCATCCCCTCCGAAAGCAGGACTTAACCCAAGACAAGTGGACAAAAGTTCTCAGAGGAGCTGATAGGCTTGTCTGAAGAGATCAATGAAGGCAGAGTTCACTTAGGAAGGGCCCCACTGCTCCCCGAGGCACGGCTGAGGGCTGCTGTCCTCGCCCATGCTCCCAGATCTAGGCACCCCTGGCTGCTTCCTCCAGCAGGGACACCACAACAGGCAGGAAGCGCCAGCTAAGTTTCCTCCCAGTGCTGCCCCGGAGACCATGCGCCCACTTACAAATTGTTTTGATGATGCTGCCATACTTGAACTTGGTCCCATACAGGGAGGTTAGGGCGGTCACAGCAGACTTGGCCAGCTGATCCTGGAGAAAACGACAAGCGATACCACCTGTTAACGGCCAGCAACAGCAGGGCCAGGGTAGCCCAACTTCTCGCTGGGAAGAGGCCCAGCGCAGAGCAGGTGCTCAGCAGCCCCGTGATCCTTGAACCCCGCAGGATGTCTGGCTGGCACTTAAGTTGCTGCCCTTTGATTGCACTGTGGCTCCAGATTGAACTCGATGGTATAAGCACAAAGTCTAGCCTTGCCCCTTGCTCTGCCATGTGACAGAAGTGACTGGGCCACAGTGTACCTCAGTTTCCCAGATAGAAAGTGAGACTGGTCTGCCTTGCCCAAGCAAGGTCTTCCCAAGCCACCAGGGGTCTGTGGGAGAAAGGGGTGCCAGGCTCAGCAGCGTAGGCAGGAAGGGGATCAGCACATACCAGCTCGCCCTGGTCAGGGGCTGGATCTGCTTTGTAGCCATAGGGATACAGGAGGAGCTGGGAGTAGCTGTGGATGGAGATGAAGGCCTTGATGTTCCCGTGGCTCTTCACAAAGTCCACGATGGACTTGACCTCCACTTCGGAATTTGCAAACTTGCCATGGTAAGTGTCCGAGCAGGGGTTGCTGCTGGCTCCTGCCACTGTGGGAGGAGAGGGGAGTAGCTGACCTTCCTTACAGCCGAGCAGTGTGGCTCCCATGCCCTCGAGTTCTTTGTGTGGAAATCGGGGTAGAATGCAGAAGGGCTCACCCCCATCCTGGAATGAAGGAAAGGCCAGGGTGTCCTGCCTCCCTCCCTAGCCAGGTGGAGGCAGAGCTGATGGACATGCCCAGAGAGGGAAGGGGGGGCTCCCCACGCAAGACCCATTCTTCTAGTGAAGGGACCACAGAGAGAAGGAGCTGAAGTAACTCTAGAAAAGCCCTACATAGTTTTCAGATCTTAGTTCCGATGGGGGGAGACTTATTTCTACAGACAAGGCATACGGAAATCTAGAGTGCCTCCTCCCTCCCGGGGAGCCTCGGGGGACAGGCTGACACCCCTCCCTCCCACTCTGCCCTCACCGCTGGGGCAACAGGACACAGGAGGGTAAGGAGCCATCTGAGTTTCCCATCCCTGCTCCCAGATCACACTGGGCCTTACTCCCAAAGCCAGCATCCCAGTTCCGGTTGGGGTCCGCCCCAACACAGGTGGAGCCCGGTGTGAGGGATCGAGTCTTGCGCCACATACGATTCTGAGGAAAGAACCGGACACGTGTCTGTCACCAAGCTGGGCTGGAGGCCAGAGCCCGCAGAGAGCAGTGTGGGCCAACACAGAGCGCTCTGATCTGGAGCATGGGCGTGGGCACAGTGTGGGTGAGAAGCCACGTCCAGCTGGTTGTCGGGAAGGTCTGCAAAGGGGGCTCTTGGTTGAAGGAGAACAGAGGCAACAGTGGACAGTACTTGGCCAGAGGTTTCTACTGGTGGAAATGAAGAAGGCAGCAGGCCCCCCCACCCCCCGCCCCCCGCCAGTACGCACTGGATTGGTAGCATGCTGTACCTGCCATAAAAGTAAAATAAAGCTAGGAAATAAGGTCCAGGGCAGTGGGTCCGGGGGATTTTGTCCCCCCATCCCAAGACATCTGATTCTCTCAATGGAGGGCTTGCTCCTGGCATCTACTGAGTATTAGGTCAGGATGCCATTATACACCCTGTCTACACAAGACAGCCTCCACACAAAGAATCACGTGCCCAAATGTCAAGAAAGCCAAGGACAGAACCCTGACCTAGGAGAACAGGTCGACTTGCCCCTCCCTGGACAAAGGGGTTGAGATTCGGGGTGAACAGCTTGTGGGGCTCAGAGGCCCACCATGTTTTCCCTAAGAACCAGAGGAAACCTGTACCTTGGTGTGGGTAAAGGCAAAACCATCAGGGTTAGTGACAATCTCCAGGAAGATGTCCATGGAATCGAGAATGGCAGTGAGAGTGATGTCCTGGCCATAGTCTTGTGTGATCTGGCAGGAAGTTGGGGGACACATGGGCAGAGAGGGTCAGGGCAGGCGTCTGCAACACTGAAGCAGCAGACAGACACCTGCGCCCTCGGCATCTGGATGGGAAGGGGAGGCCCGGGCTCCAGAGGGCCTTGAACACCAGCCCACCAGGCGAGAACCCTCCTCACCTCCCCAGGCTTACCTTTTTCGCAAACCAGACCCCGCTGGCCTGCGTAACCCACTCCCGGGAATGGATGCCCGTGTCGATCCAGATGGCGGGACGGTTGTTTCCCCCAGTGCTGAACTGAACAAGAAAAGCAAGGAGATCTAGCCAGGATCCTGTCCCACCTCCTTGAAGCAGAGCACACCCCAGGCCAGAGGCCACCTGCTCCCTGGGTGTCTCAGGTTAAAGCTTTATTTGTGGGGCCATCACTCAGGTGAGGGGTGGGGGCAGGGTCCACACAGGAATCCTGCAGAACTTGGCCTCCAGCCTTCACGTTGGCCTTGGGGCAAATATGACTCAGCCAGAACTCTGGGCCCTCCCCTTTTTTGCTGCCCATACACAGTTCTCTGTGGGGTGTCACAAATAAAACATTTGATCAGGACAACCCTGACTCTCGGATACTTTCCACAATGTGACCCTTGATCGAAAACACTTGGGTCACTTAAAAGTTTAAGAATTGCGTGTGTATGAGGTATACGTATACGGCTAGACCAGCGCAGAAATTCCGACCTTCCCAAATGCCATCATGGGGAGTTCATACAGCAGAGCATTCCCGGTGACCCCGGGTTCACCCATGGGACCCCACACAGGGATGTGGGCACCCACTCTTGCATATGTGCCCATGTGCACTCACATGCAGGTGCCCATTACCTTCAGCACATAGATGGGGCGACCTTCGTAGGTGTTGCCAATCTGGAGCTTGCTGACCAGCCGTGGGTGCTCAGCAACCAGCAAATCCATGAAGCCATGGATCTGAGAAGGGAGAGGAGGGGAGGCCGGCTGTCACGGCTGCCAGATACCCGGATGCCTCCCTTAGCAGCTCCAAGCCACAGCCCAGACCAGCTAGGTCACCGGAGACAGAACAGGTGCATGCACACCCGGGTGAGCCCTGACTCTGGCTGCATTCTGCCAGCCTAATGCAGAGCTCAGTGCTTGTGCGGAGTGGTCCAGGGGTCCCTCACCTCCTCCAGGGTGTGGTAGGTGGCGTAGTTAAAGGTGTTGGTGGAGCGGGCCCGGGCCTGGAAGGCGAACATCTGCTCCTGCTCCTCATCCAGCAACGACTGCACATCCTCAATCATGATCGTGTACCCGAGGCCATGGGCCTCCAAGAAGGCTTTGACCGCTTGGATGCTGGGAAAGGGCACTCGGACGTCGATGGGAGAGCCAGGCTGGGCAGGGCCCCGCCAGAAGTCCAGCTGGGGAGGACGAGAGTGGGCACTGTCATGGCGGGCTGGGCAAGGGCCAACCGGGAGGGGGTGCTGGCGCCAGAGTGTCCCGTACGACGGGCTGTGGCATGGGTGTCAGGGGCAGAGGACAAAGGGGAAACCGTGGGCCCTGGACAGAGTCCACTGTGGTCAGGGAAATGGCCCAGGAAGCGTTGTGGAGGAGCTTCAAGAGAGCAAGCAGAGAGAAGTGCTAGAAGGTCCTCCCTTTGCTCAGATGGTCAATGGCAGCAAGATTCTGGAACTAGAAGGTTAAATCATTTCCTAACAGAAATCAGTCCCATGGGGTCCTTTCTGGGTGGCTGAGGAGAGCAGGCCCAGGTCCCAGGTGGCCCCAGGGGATGATGGGGGCCTGGGGTGGGCCCAGCTGGCCTGAGTGGAACCCTTGGGGCCTCCTGGAGGACTCCCCACTTCTTCTGACCTGCAAGTGCTCCAGATCCTCGAGCTCTTTCACCTTCTGTACTTGGGCTTCATCAGCAGCAGAGATTCGGAGCACCTGGTGCCTGGGCAGAGCGGGAGGGGAGACCGGCGGCCTGAGCAACTCCACACTCCCCAGGTGGGAGGAGGATGGCATCAAGTGGCCTGAAAGCCCCAGGCTGGGGCTTGAACCTCCGGGCTGAGCAGGGGGGAAGCCTGAGGGGTCTTAGCCTTGGAGCGATCTCATCCCAGTTTAGACTCTGTCTCTCTCTCCAAAGCCGGCCAGATCTCTTCCCACCTCCTCTCCTGAAAACTCCTCCTTCAAGGTCAAATTTCTCGGGGTCTCAGGAAGCTGTCCCAAGGGACCAGACCCCTTCTCAGCCCCGGTCCCTGGTCAGTCTGCCTCCCAGGGTGTGCTAGTCTGCTCCTCTCTGGAGTCATCCCATACGTCAGTCTGTCTCCTCCAGACGCTGGCTGGGGGCTGAGTGCTCCCGTCTCCTGTCTGAGCACCCCCTTCTCTCCATACTCTTACCCCACAAAGTCCTCTTTGCCAAGGACAGCCCCGAGCAGCACACTCCAAATCAACAGCCCCCTCATGCTGCAGCCCCTTGGAAACGCCATCTGAGGCCGAGAGAAGGCCCTGGGGCCTTTTAAACTCTCCCAGGTCTCCCAGGTCTTGAGGTCCTTCAGACTGGGCCCAAGGGTTGTTCCCCTCCCCCACCTTGCACCTGGGCCCCATCCCACGGGGAGGGAGGATGAGAGCCCCGAGCTCTGATACCTTCTCACCCTCCCTGATAAAGTGGCAGGAAACAGGGCAGCTGGGGAGATAAGTCAGGCCTCAACCCCTTGGCCATGAAGGACCAAACTGAGGGTCAGCCGGGGCCTGAGGCCTCCCAGCTGGGAGCCTGATCGCCCACAGCCACGGGTGCCTGCACCAGGACCTGTTTGCTGACCGGGACTGGAGCACCCAGGACTCCGGGGCGGCCAGACCAGCTGGAGCGGCATGTGGGGTGCCCCCTCTCCCGCGCTCCGGAGGGCCCGCTCTTCTGTTCCTCTTCCAGCTCCTGTGCCCGCTGGCTCCTCACCACACCGGCCCTGTCCAGGGCTGCCCCTCCCCTGCACAAGGCACCCCCCCCCCAGTGGGCTACAGGCCCCCAAGGGCACTTCCCAGCCCCTCTCCCTCCCCCCACTTGCCCCCCCCACCCCCACTCCACCCACCCCACCTCACCCCCGCCGTCGGTGGCCTTGTGGGAGTCCAGCCCCAGCAGCAGCAGCTGGGGCAGGAGCTCAACTCTGGCCAGGGTTTCCCTCCCCGCCGCCAGCACAGGGCTCAGGATTGGGGTTGCCCTTGATGGGAACTGTAACCAGATGTCATCTGAATAGAAAGCGTGGTGGTGGGAACCGGGGCCGGACCCCGATGGGACTGCACAGTGTACAGGAGAAACTGGGACTCACGAAGGGGAATTCACCGGGGCTCTGGATGCTGATCTCATTGTAGAAACATCTAACACAAATCCGCCCTAATCCACAGGGGCCCCAGCGGGTACCCAGCTCCATCTGGGGCCCCTGCTCTGTGTCAGGGCCTCAGCCTTGGACACTGACAACGGCCAAGAGGGCCCTTTCTGGCCTCCATCTGCTCCCCCTGCCTCCCTATACCACCCCCTACCTGGCCTACTCGCCTATAGCTGGGGCAGAGTGACCCCACTGGATCTGCCCCCCACTCTCTCCTGAGCCTAGCTCTCAGAAGAAAACACAACTCTGAATCCATCCTCAACAGATGTTGCACCTCCCTGAAGACTGTCCCTTTCCACTCCGGCAGCCGTGCCTGACCTCCGGGCCCCAGATGAGACCCTCTTTCTCCCCGAAGCTTCCTCTGGCTTCTTTTTCAAGTGTCCACCCCTTCTCCGAATGCTCACCCCTTGCCTTGGTCACTCTTCTGGCCCACGTACTGTGCTCCACCCTGGGAGGCCGCCCAAGTCACACTGTCCCTGATCTCAGGGAGCTCACGGTCTAGTGGGAGCAACAGAAGTAACCAACTCACTGGTGTTCTCTCAGGCCCTCCAGGAAGCTGTCGCCAAGACAGGACTGGACATGCAGGACATTCGTTGGGGGAACTACCCAGGAAGGATCAAGAAGAGGGAAGAGAAGACAGGAGGGCCTTCAAACCAAGCTGCGGGTCTGCCCCCTGGGAAAAGAGAAGGGGAAGGACAGGGAGAGGAGAGGGGGGAGGAAGGGAGACGGGCAACAGGGGAGGAGGAGGCGCTCAGACGGGAGCACAGTTCTGAGAGCATTTCGGCCAGGCTGACACAGAAAGCTTGGAGGCAGCGCTGCGGGTCAGGGGAGCTTTGCATCCCACAGGAACGCGGGCCCTAGTGCTGTGTTGTGCTCAGTCACCAGCTGGGGACAGCTTATGGGAAGGGTGACCTCATCACAACCTGGTGGCGGGCCCTCGGTCTGTTCGGCTCCACTGACCTGTCCCTGACCGCAGAGAGCCGACAGTCTAGTGTGAAATACAGAACCAACCAACACGTTGGTTCTCCAAGAGATCTTATAAGAAACTGTCACCAAGACCGGAGTTGATGAGCAAAAAGTCTTAGTGGCCTGCTTTCCTCACCGCAGGAGACCCGAGCAGTGCGTTTCCTCTGACGTGCATGGGAGGTACCAGCAAGGCTACGGACTCTGCACCACTGGTTTGCATGGGAGGGTCCACAGAAGACTTTCCCAAGAAGGTGACATTTGACCTGGGTCTAAATGACAGGATTTTGCTAGGCAGAGAAAGGAAGGGCTGTTGGGTACACTATTCAGTGCTTAAACACAAGCTCACATTTTCTCCTCCTTAATGTATGTCTCCCAGTAAGACTAGAAGTTTCCTCAGAACAGAAACTGTCCCTTAGCCTTCCCTCGTCTTCTCCTTCATCTCTTAGGGCCCTGTAGTGTTCTCCAGCTTCCAAATCTGGCCCCCAGCAGGAAAAAAAAAGTTTTGTAGATCCTTTCTTCAGTTTGCATTATGAAAACATATCTTTTTGTATGTCTAAATCTAAAGCTGTCCTATAATTTGTTTCACACAGACTACACATGTTGGGGGGTGGGGGTGTTGGCTAATTCTTGGGCCTTCTGCAAATTCCTTCCAGAAAAGACAAACCCATTGGAGAAAGGAGGAGGGGTGGGGGAAGGGCACAGCCCCTCCAAGCGGGCCTCTCGAAGCCTCCAGCCAGCAATCTAAGGTGTCCAAGAGTCATGTAATCTATTTTCTTGCAAGGTTGGAAAAGATTAATTTAATGCTGCAAGCTAAGATTAGGGTCAGTACTGGCAGGAAGCTGAAAACACAATGGGAGAGGACTTTGGGTCTCAGGTGGAGGCTAGGCCTAATTCCTTGGGGCCCTCCAAAGCACCTCAGGAAAGCTGAAAATTGCCTCTTGGGAAAGACCAATTTGCTAGAAGGAAACCTGGGGCAGAGGGCCACAGCGCTGCCTTTCCACAGGGGCTTGCTTCACATTGGTCCAAAGCACGGGCAAAGAGGAAGGCCATTAAGCAGAAAGCTTGGGGTAGAAGCAGAGCGTGGAGACCTAGAGCACAAGAAAGAAGCCACCAGCCAGGCATGCAGATTCATGGACAGGTCACAGGGCTGAGGCCTAAATGCAAACAGAGGAGGGACAGCTGTAACCACATGGAGCAGAGTCCAGTGTCCCTCCCTTCTTCCTCATGGACAAACCTAGTTCCTTCTGAACAGGTATCACCCCTGAGGAAAGTCACCCCATTCCCAGCTCAGAGATAAATATTAAGATTGGTTTAAGACAACTGAGAAGAGGGACACCTGGGTGGCTCAGTCGGTTAGGCACCCGACCTCGGCTCGGGTCATGATCTCACAGCTGGTGAGTTTGGGCCCCCCCATCAGGCTCTCTGCTGACAGCTCTGTGCTGATGGCCTAGAGCCTGGAGCCTGCCTCAGATTCTGTGTCTCTGTCTCTCTCGTCCCCTCCCCCACTCATGCTCACTTGCATGTTCTCTCTTTCTCTCTCTCTTTCTCTCAAAAATAAATAAACATTTAAAAAAAAGAAAGGCAATTGAGGAATCTCATTATCTTTTGCAAGTGATTGGTTTGGGGATAAGCATGTGACCCAGTTGGGCCAATAAGAGGTAAAGGGAAGCCAGTAAGGAAGCTTCTAGAAAATGTTTCTCCACAATCAAGAAAGAGACACCTTTCTCTGGATATTATCAAGTCTGTTGCCCTCCCCCTTTGGACTATATAATATGAAGGAATATACATTCCCTCCCTATTAACTGTAAAAGGCACTGTTGCTTTTTGTTTGTTGCTAACTGATGCACCTACTAAGCTTTTAAAGTGCTTGTGTTGTCAGAACACAATACAGTTTTAGTGTAGGGGAGACTTTATGTGACATGGGAAAAAGCATCCCTCCACCTCTGGGTAGACATAGTCCCTCATCCTCTCAGCAGAATGTTTTTGTGCAGTGCACAAACTGGACAACTATCCATGGCAACCCTGTGGCCAGAGAGTGCCCAAGCATGGTAAACAGAGGCTCTAAAACAATGCTTAAAGATCCCCCAAACTAAAACCCAGAAAACGGGTTGTTGTAAAGGCAGGAGAGTCAGTCCCCTATGTCCATATTGGGGGTCAAAGGAGACAGTGGATAAGAGAGATCCTTGCAGAGAGCATAAACAGGCACAGTCACAATGGCTGGACACAGTAGCTGTATGAGACTTCAGCTGTCTCCCTTTGGCACATGTGGTTAAGGCTGTGTGTGGTACCCTACGCGGAGAGAAGCCTATGAGAATTTGAGGCAGCTAAGTGGTGGACTGTAATGGACGTGTCTCATTTTCCCTGCCCAGCATCCTTCTCTTGCTGAAGGACCACCCTTCCCAACTCTGAGACCAGGTGATTCGGGTGGTTCTAGCCACCCCACCCCCAACCCAGCTCTAGGGAAGAGCCAACTACTGCCATTTCCCCCCCCTCAAGCTTTATCAAGTTGGCTTTCTGTCACACGTACCTGAAAACAAGTGCACAGCTGACACGTTCTCTAACTTCAGAAGAGAGCAAAACGGGAGAGGGAACACCTTCCAAAAGTAAATTGCCACAAACCCGTTATATGATTTGGGGAGATCGCTTGCGCGTCCCCCAGCCTCAGTTTCCTCATCCATGTATTGAGAGAGGAGGACAGAATGATCTCCTCGGTCCCTTCCAGCTGTAACGCTGTATGGCTCCAGGACATTTATATTTTGCACCCCCAAACAAAACACAGCCATGGTGACAAGTCTGGGTAGGAGAGAGAGGCTCCCCACGTCTATGAGCAGATCAGAGCAGAGCCACGGGGGCCCTGGGGCTTGAGATGGGTGAGTGTTCCCAGGACGGTGTGGGTGGAGAGGGGCCAGGTCCTGCTGAGGCCGCAAGGGGAGGCTGCAGGGGGAGGCTGCAGGGGTGGGGGGGGCTTCACGGAAGGCTGGGAGGCCGAGGCTCCGGCAACAGCCTCCCTGAGTTTCGCTTCCATAACGGAGCGCCCGGGAGAGCCTATCTGTTGGCCTTGAAGCTGCAGAACTCTCACTTTAAAGTGGCGAGTGGGGCTGCGCTCCCAAAGGGAGGCAGAATCTGTATCCCAAAGAGAGAAGCGCTCAGCGGGTTTTTAGGAAGCGTCAAGTCAGAGCCCAAATCTCCCAACAGAGAGGTGGAAGAGAGAAGGCCTAAGCGGGAATGTCCCACCATGTAAAAAAAAAAAAAAAAAAAAAAAAAGAAGGGGGGGAGAAGCAATGTGGAACAGAGTCGAGGAGGAGACGGTGTCTCCCAGGGGGCCGCGAACCGGCTCCGGAGCCAGTGTCCAGTGGAAGGGTTTTACTTTCCACATTGTACTTCCCTTCTGTATTCCCAGGTCGAACTTTGTGCAAAGTGTTACCCTGCGGTGGTAACTATGCTCTGGGGAATTGAGGGAGGAGGGAGCGGAGGCAAGATGGCGGCTGGGGAGCCACGGAGCCTGGCCAGGCAGGTTAGGAGACAGCAAGAGGCGAATGAGGAGCCGGCGGGCGAAAGGGTTTGCGGACACTTTGTCGTTCCCAAGGACTGTCCCACATACTTGGGGACGGAGAGCATTCAAAGGCCCAGCAGGTAAAAGTTGTCCTTCAGGACCCCCCTCCCCCCAACCCCC